AGCGCAATGATGGTGCCAACTTGGGCCAGTGAAGCAACGTCCTCCACAACTAGACTGAAGAACAAAACGACAGCAACTTGTCAGTTCCCCTTCCCTCAATTCCCCAATAAAAAAAATCTTTAAAACAAAAACCAAACCATTATTTTATTGACATGGTACCTTGAACAAAGGATTAGATAATTTCTTGAAGCCTTTCCTACCTCCAAATATGCCATGAGCCTATGTTGTTTTAAAATGTACTATCAGAAAATAAATCCTATGGGGAGAAAATGATCATTTTCTGTTATTAGACATTTGAAGTCTTGGTTTTTTCCCTCCCAGACTCTTGAACGTCAGCAATATAAGCAAACATGTTCAAATTTATTTGCCTCTGTGCTTTGCTCCTCCCTTCCTCCCTCCCTCCCTCCCTCTCCTTCCTTCCTTGTGTTGGTGTTATTGTTGATTGAGGAGAATTTAAGGAAAAGACTATTGACAAGAAACCAATAGCGAAAGTGAAGAACCTGTGTAGAGCCCCACAAAAATCTGTAGCTGTGGAGGGCCCACCCCCTCAGGAAAGGAACGGCCAGGGGATGGACATGACACTCAGCTCTCCTCTCCTCCTGGTGGCTGAACCCAGCAGCAAGAAAGCAAAGGGACCTGACTGACAGGCAGACAGATGTACCTCCGTGCAAAGGAAGCGAAGCCTCTAGGTCCCTCCCAGACCTCATAGGAACTTTTTGTCAGATTAATTAGATAAAACTTGCAAACAGTAAAACTGAATCTTTTTAGTGTATAATTCTGTCAGTGCATAGAGTTGTGGTCAAGATAGAGAACAGATCTAAAATGCCCTGCTGCCTTTTCGTAGTCATATCCTCCTCAACTCCCAGCTCCTGGAAACCACTGGTATGTTTTCTGCCCCTCTAGTCCTGCCTTTACCAGAAGGTCATAGAAACAGAAGCCTGCAGCGTGTAACCTTTTCGCTCAGAAAATGCATTTGCGACCCATCCAGGTGGTGGTGTCGGTCGGCAGTTTGTCCATCTTCCTGCCGAGCAGTACCCACGGTCTGGATGTATCACTATCAGTTCACCACCCAGCAGCACAAGGACCTTTGGCTTATTTCCGTTTTGATCACCCTGAGGAACACCGCAGTACGCATTTGTGGGCGGGGTTTTCTGTGAACCAGTTTTCATTTCTCTTGGGTAAATGTTTGGTAGTTGGGTTGCAGGTTGTATGGTAAGTATTATGTTTGATTTTGTGGGAAATGTCGAACTGCTCTATTTTACATTGTCGTTTTTAAATGACACCCTATATTTATATAATCTTATTCTGCTTATTGATAAGAAATGATTCTATTTATAAATATTTTGAGGTTGTTTAGGAGCCAGAGTTGCTGCCGTTTTATTAGCTATTACAGGACTCTTTCAGGCATTTTTATCATCTGTAACATGTATTCCTGACATATCTGATTGGGTTATTATGAAACTAATAGATATATGAAAACAGTTTGAAAAGTGATGCGTTTATTACAGATAAAACTTATTTTAAATTTACATGTGGGAAAATAGCAACTTGAATAGATTTAAAATATTTCTATTTTAGTTTGCCTGTCTTTTTTTATTGATCTGGTAACGGATCAGATGGTAAAGTTTCTTAGAAAGTATGGTAAGAAGTAGAGTTAACTGATACAGGAATTGTTTCCCCAATGTTACTGAGCGGCTCTTGGCATTTACAAAACGAATACAGCCTGTTCCCTTTCTCCAGGTTGTGCTCCTCCGAGCGGAGGACGCAAACGCAGGCGTGAAGAGTTCTGTTGCGGTGGATGAGCCAAGTGCTGAGAGGGGCGGGATGTGCCTCCTGGTGCTGGGTGGGCGGGAACACAGGAGCATGTGAAGTTTGGGAAGGAAGACGTGAATACTTCGTTAAAGAGGCAAGAATTGAGCTGAGTGTTGAAAGGAAAGGGAACCACATACCTGTAGCTTTTCGAGCCATCGTCTCATCTAGGCCAGGCGTAGGTTCAAATTTCAGCTCTGTCTCCTCCAGCCTTTTGACTTCAGCAGGCTATGTAATCTTTCTGCATCTGTTTCCTCACATGTCAAGTGAAGATGATGATAATAACTACAACAGACAATAGCATTATTCGTTTCAGCGAATAATTACCAGGCCCTTAGCGTGCTAAAGCACTGGGGATACAGTGGACATCACAGCAGGCAGAGTAGGTAGCTCCTGTGCTCATGGAACTCCTGCTCTCAGGACAGATGCAGAAACAGGAGGATTTCAGATAGTAGAAATTTGTGACAGCTGGACTAAATCCGCATAAAGTGACTAGCATGGTGCCTGTCGCACAGTAGTTAGGGACTTGCCTGCGGGAACATGGCGAGTGAATGGCTGAGCCCAGACCCAGACCTTCCTGGCCCCAGAGCCTGTGCGCTTGACAGCCTCCCTCCTAGTGGCTTCCAGGAAGAGCATGAGCTAGCCTGGGTGAGGTGGGAAGGGCATTCCAGGAGAGGAAGCCACGTTTGTAACAGCACAGAAGCACCAAAGAGCCACAGTTCCCTTTGGGGCAGAAAAGCCAAGCGTTCTAAGGACACGGTTGACTGGCAGAGCAGCTAGGCCTCAGTAGCTGGGTGGAGAGCACTTACAGATAGTGTTTCTCTGCCCCGGTAGGCCTGTTGACAGATTAGCCTCTCCCTGTGTGTCTCGTGGGATCTGGTGTTCTGCTGCCCCCAGTGCTGATCACAGCTGGAGCGTCGGTATTTTATCATCAGACTGAGAGGCCGGTGTGTCAGCCAGCCTCGGGGTAGCCCGCTGCATACATGAGAGTCTGGCCAAGGATTTGTAGGGGACTCCCTTTTAACTCATTAATGGTAAAGCAGGTATCATCACTTACATCAGATGGAGACTGGTAACTACAAATGGGAAGAAATGTTTTGACAGGGGAGGGTGGTGGTAAATCTTTGAGCTGTGGAACCAGAAATGAAATACGTACTTGGCTCCAGTTGTCAGCCGACTGTGGCCCCTGAGCCAAATGTGGCCCGTGGCCTATTTTTGTAAACAAAGTTTATTGGAACACAGCCACACTCATTCATTCACATAATGTGTGTGGCAGCTTTCAAGCTGTAGTGACAGAGTTTAGGAGTTGCAACAAAGAACTATAAAGACTTAAATATTTACCAAATAAATGGCCCTTTAAGAAAAGATTTGTCAGCCACTGGTCCCGACTTTCCATTTAGTGCTCTCTCAGGGCCGACTGAGTGGCTCAGTTGGTTAAGAGCTCACTCAAGAGTGTGAGCTTTGAGCAACAGGGTCACCGGTTCGATTCTCGGCCCGAGCTGAGATGCCAACAGGTGGCAGGATGGCTCAGCTAACAACAACAACAACAAAAAGTATAATTCTCCATTTAGTGCTCTCTCTTTTTAATATCTTGTACTTCTTCATATTTGTCTGACCTACTGTATGAGTTCTGTGTGTGAATATTTTAAAGGCGTTACACAATGAGTGTACTTTTATTGCATGCCTTTTGGATTGCTATTAACGTGGAGCTGAACAAAAGTAGCGATGAGTATAGATATGTGTGTATAGAGAGACAGAAAAAGGAAATGTGGCAAAATGTTTATAATTGGTGAATCTAGGGGAAAGGTTTATGGGTATTCATTGTTTTTGCAACTTTTGTGAGGGCTTGAAATTGATCAAAAATTAAAAATATTCAGTGGCCCCAGGTACTGCACATAGATACACAATGTACAGAGTCATTTTCTGAAGGACACGTTAGTGGGCTCTGCCTGCCTCTGAGAGGAGAACTGGGGTTGGGGTGGGAGAGAGACAGCTTTCATTATGTAACTTTAAGTGCCATTTGAGAATTTGTTTTATGCTATTCGCATATTATCTTTTAAAAAAAATCAATAAAAAATAGAGCTGAAAATGTGTTTTGTATGTGACTGTAGTTTACAATACGGTAGCCTCAAATAATTGGACAAATAAAAACTGCAGAATAAAACCTGCCTGAATACGTTCAGCCTAATATCTAAATATACATACAGATACAGATTTTTCTTATGACAGATTTTCTCCATTTTACTTTAGGATGGGAGCAAAGTATTTACGGCTTCTTGTGATAAAACTGCCAAAATGTGGGATCTCAACAGTAACCAAGCAATACAGATTGCACAGGTAACAGAAGATTGCCCTCTAAAAAAGGCTGGTGCTCAGGGATGTGAATTATAATTATAATTCTCTATTACAGAAAAAAATGCAGCTTCACTATACCAAGTTATATCGGTTAGACTGAAGTATACCAGAAACCCCCTCTTGCACACAAAAGTGACACCAGTTTCATAACCATTCTCATTCCTGCTACCATTTTGCAGATTATTGTCCAGGGTCTCCACGCACATATAGACGAGGGCGGTGCCATAGGAGCGCGTGACTTTAAATCTGTAAAAGACAGATGCTCCAGGCGGCCCTCAGCGTTCACGTGCTTGACACCCCAGCAGCCATGAGTGGCTTGCCTTTCACCGACTGCGATTGGCCACTCGTTCACCTGGCAAGGATCGAACGATGCTTACTGTGTGCCACGTCCTGTCACTAGGGGAAGAGCTACAGCAGTGAGGGGAGCACTTGCACATGCGCCGGAGCTCTTAGAGCCTCTCAGGGACAGCAGGCAGGCTCTGTGTGAGGAAGGCAAAGGTGACAAAGATGAGCGGACCTAGAGCCAGAGGGTCTGGCCTGGTGAGGAGCCCTTGGCCCGAACGTTTTCAGGAAGGCACCACATACTTTAAGGTCAGAGTACTGTGTGTGAGAAGCATTTCCTTGATCTCTTATGTCATCTAAGTAAGTAGATAAAGTATGGTGGTGTTCCCTACTAGTTATTTCCGATCATCTCCCCAGGGAGGGGCTAACTAGCATAGCCTAGTTAATTATGGGGAAGGGCTAAGATTTCCTTTGCTTTTTGTTTGGTATGACCTCAATATTTAAATTAGTTCCGTCTCTGGATTTTCAGAACTAAAACTGTTAGGCACATTGTTACGTTCACCTTCACCTGTTTTGGTTTTGTCTTGAAAGCACGATGCTCCTGTTAAAACCATACATTGGATCAAAGCACCAAACTACAGCTGTGTGATGACCGGGAGCTGGGATAAGACTTTGAAGGTACATATAATACACTGTTGAGGGACCACATGGCCCGACCAAGATGGCGCTTACTCGTTTATTCCTCTCTTTGGGCTTTAGCTCTGAGGGGTCACTTCTGGCTTTTTTTTTTTTTCTTTTAGTTTTGGGATACGCGATCATCAAATCCTATGATGGTTTTGCAGCTCCCTGAAAGGTGTTACTGTGCTGACGTGGTAAGGAATACCTAACAATACCCATTTCCTTTAAAAAAATAAAAGCATTTCTTACCTTATGCATCTTGCAATTAGAGAGTAAGCTAAAAACCCTTCCACTTTAGTAATAGCTACATGGGATATAGTTCAAGTTGCCTCAGTCATCCGAAATCAGGAGAACTTTGTGTTGCACTGGTTCCGTAATTACTGAATACTAGGTGTCAGGGTTTTTGGTCACTTGTTCGCTTGAATATATATCGCTAGCTACATGCCATCAGTATATGACGTTTATCGTGTGGCTGTAGGAGCATGAGCAGTCACTTTATGGTGTATACTTGATCTTTGGGGACTGTCTCTGAATGGAAGAGAGGCTGAAGAACTTTCTCCATCTGTTTAGTCATAAGTCTTAAAGTTTTGTACCATCTGCCCCAGTCATTCCACTTAGAAATTTGTCATGAGAAAAAAGTTTCAAATGGTCTTTGTTATATGTAATATAGCGAAACATCAGACATGATCTCATAGGCCAATGAGACAGACATGGTTAAATGAACCCTTAGTAGGTTCATTGGAGAGACTATCAGTCACTATTAGTATTCTTGGAGCACACGCTCTGAGTTAGTGATACGGGTTACGGAGAGACATCCATACACAGGTATATGTGTGTAATGCCCAGAGAAAAGACTGGAGTAAAATATACTGTAATAGTATATTTTCTAAGTATTCACATGTTTTATAGTTTTAAGAAACAAGTCTTAAAAATATATGAATCTTCTACTTTCAAATACGATTTCTCTAGCTTTTCATGAAATATGATATTGGATTTTTAAACATAGAAAAAATTCAGGCTTATTTTTGTGACTCTAAAAAATTGGTCTGATAGTTTGATATAAAAAAGCACACTCCTGGGGAGAATGGGAATAATAAAAAATAAAAAGTACAGTCTTTTATTTCAAGCATGTGTCTGCTTTCCTCCGTGCCCTAGATATACCCTATGGCCGTGGTGGCAACTGCGGAGAGGGGACTGATTGTCTATCAATTAGAGAACCAGCCTTCTGAATTCAGGAGGATAGAATCTCCACTGAAACATCAGGTGAGTCAGAAGTCAAGCCAGGAAGCGTGTGTTTATTATAGCAGCTGTCCCGTGCCTGTAGTGTGTCCAAAGGGAGGGAATCTAAGGATACAAACACAAATACATACTTAGTAACTACTACCCATCTCTGGATGAGCCCCACTTTTCCAGTCCTCCCTCTAACTCCTCCCTGGAGAGCTGAATGCTACTGAAGAAAATTGCAATCTCAGCGGATTGGTTCCATTGTAAACCAGACGGTTACTGGGTTTTCCTCTTCAGCTCCGTCTTCCACTTGCCATGGACTCCTGGGTCTTTTTCACTGTCTTCCAACTCCTAGACGCTCCCTCCAAAGCCTTTGTCTTAGCAGCTCAGATCAGCTCCTGCTGAGAAAACAGAGGCTAGCGTTTGGAACATCTCATCTTCCTCCTACTGAGTCTAGAAACCTGCCTGGGCCTGCACCTTGCCCCTGCCCTTTCCCACATGTTCGGTGGGGCAGTGTTCTCCGAGCCCGTGCTGTGGGACCCCCCCGCCCTCTGGCCCTCTCAGGAACCGTAGCTATTGATCACCCACCTCCCTCCTGTATCTCCCTCCTGAATCTCTTGCCCTGTTAGCACTTCTCCATTTGCACTGAAACATGCTCAAGTCTAATTCGTCCTAGAAAGCAAACCTCTCTTGACCCCTGCACCCTCCTCCAGTACCAGCTGGGTCCCCGTTGAGTGACAGTAAGAGTAGAGAGCTGTGCTCTCCTCCAGCCCATCCCCCACACCATGACCTTGCCATGGCCCCGCTCAGAGCCCAGTGCTGACTTCTCACTGCTCACGGGGTAAATCCCAAACTACTTGGTAAAACCTAGTCTGGTCTGACTTCACTTCCTGCCACCCCGTGCTCGGCACCCTGGCCTTCCGTTTGCTGACGGGTGCCATCAGTCTTTGCACAGTGACTGTACAGTTGTGTTCTTGTAAATTGCGTCCCTGGAGTTGTGCGGTTCCTGGTCTGGGTATTAGATGCTGTGCTGAGCTGGGGGGCACAGCTTGACCAGCCATGGTTCCTCCTGTCCTCTGAGAACTTACAGACTCTGTCTCTTTCGTTAATTTTTTTCTTTATTCACAGAAGTAATGGGTTTGCTATTTTAAAAAGGGAGGGGGGGGGCAAATAGTACAGAAAGAGAACCAGCCTCCACTGTCCACGTCCTTAGGAAAGTTGCAGCTCCAGCCGCCTCCTGATAGCAAACTGCTCTTTACCTCCGTCTAGTGTGGCTTAGCCCCCAGGCCCTGGTCCCGCCCCAGCACCTGACTAAACCACAGAAGCCAAAATGTCCAGTTTGGGGAGTGGGTGGTCATCTGGTTAGGCCAGGTTGTCATGACTGGAAGAAAGAAGTGAGGACGCAGGTGCGTCCCACTCCTGCTCCTCTGCCTCAGGAGGCTGGGTCGTGGGCTTTCTGTGGGGTCTTCTGTAGAGCCCTGGAGACCCTCCTTTGGGTCCCCAGTCTCAGGGTTGGACCAAGGACAGTGTCTCACGTCTGCATAGCATGTTCATAGCATAGAAAGTGCTGGCCCAGTGGCTGTCCCACTTGACCCTTGTCGCCCTGGGATTGCCAGGCAGATGCTACTTTTCCCACTGGGGAAGCAGAGGCACAGAAACACGGGTAACTTGATGAAGGGCGCCCACCTAGTCAGTGGTGGGCTGCAAATCAGAGTGACGTGTCTCACTCCCCACGAGGGGCCAGCACCAGAATGGGAACTGGTGGAGGTTTGGGGGGATGTGCTGCTGGGGTGACAGCAAGGCCTTCCGGGTGGCAGAGGTAGAACGAGAAATTGAGTAGAAGCATGTGCTCTGCCGTTTATTTATAAAATCATGTGGCTGAATACAAGTGGCTACTAAAAAGTTAGGAAATAATGCTTACTGGAGGAAGAGAAGTATCTTGATCACATTTGAATAACACGTTTCTGGTTCTTCTAAAACCCAAACAAGGGGTAAAGATAATTGACCTCCAAACTAGTTATGAAATGTTATGTTTTACATTGTGATAATACACTTTTCTTTTTTTCTTAAACCATAGCATCGATGTGTGGCTATTTTTAAAGACAAACAGAACAAGCCGACTGGTTTTGCCTTGGGAAGCATCGAGGGGAGAGTTGCTATTCACTACATCAACCCCCCAAACCCGTAAGTGGGACTCAGTCAGCTTGCAGGTTTTCACTTGAGACGTTTGTTTTTTAAAGAAAAACTTAGTTGGACCTTTGTTTTTTAGTGCCAAGGATAACTTTACCTTCAAATGTCACCGATCTAACGGAACCAACACTTCAGCCCCTCAGGACATCTACGCGGTACGTTTTAGGACTTTAACCTTGACAGTGCAGCAGAATGTAGGCTTGGGGGGGTGGGGAGCTGAGTCATTATGGGATCAGAAAAGATGACTGTGTCATCAAGTGCGTTCTCATCTGGAGATAACGGCCTGTGCTGAGGTTTCAGTTTTCTGTTTTTATGAACATGTTGACTTAGTTCTCTATTTGTCTCCGAGTGCAAGCTTCAGACTTTTTGGGGTGCTGGTAGACAGTTTATAGACTTAGCTAAAACCGAGAATTCACTGTTTGCTAAGAAAGAAAATGGCATTTTCCAGAGGTTCGCATCGTGATGTCACTAGCTACACAGTTAACTTCTGTGACTTGTGTTTGCAACAAGGGACAAGATTCCGTTCTGGGTGGCAGTTGGTCAGGGAGCACGACTGGTTTGTCCTGTGATCGGCGGGCAGCCAGCTCTAACAACATGGCAGCCGGGGCCTTCTCTTTCCTGAAGCAGGAAGCACGCGTTTGCCAAACCGGATTTCTCTCCCCCGCTCCCTCTACTGCTCATCATGCATGTCAATCCTTGTAGGTGAATGGAATCGCATTCCATCCCGTTCATGGCACCCTTGCAACTGTGGGATCTGATGGTAGATTCAGCTTTTGGGACAAAGATGCCAGAACAAAACTAAAAACTTCAGAACAGTTAGATCAGCCGATCTCAGCTTGCTGCTTCAATCACAATGGAAACATCTTTGCGTATGCTTCCAGCTACGACTGGTCCAAGGTGAGGGGTCCCACCTAATGGGCACAGGCGGGCACACTAACCAGCACCCGCACTTCCCCGTCTCTGTGGGTCCGTCCCCGGGCAGTCAGAGGTCTCCTGTTCCACGAAACCTCCAGTCTGAGTTAACCCCCCGCCCTCCCAGGGGCCTTGCCCCCTGAGGCAGCCATCGTGGCTTTAAAGTGGCGCAGGTTGAAAAGAGTCTCAACACCTGAAAGACTAACACATAAAGAAGATTTTTCCTCCAAGCGGGACACTGAAGACAGGTTTCCACCACGTCCCCAGGCTCTTCTCCGAGAATTGGAGTTTTTGTTGAACATCTGGCCCTTCTCGCCACCTACCTGTTAGTTCCCCTGAGAGATTCTGCCTCATGCCTGTAGCACAGGACTTGGCATACAAAAGGTGCCCACAAAATGCTAACTTGCGCTTTTTCATAATAAGATCATTGTGTTTTTTTCCCCCTTTAGGGACATGAATTCTATAATCCCCAAAAGAAAAATTACATTTTCCTGCGTAACGCAGCTGAAGAGCTAAAACCCAGGAATAAGAAGTAGTGGCGGAGCCTGACGGGCTGTTGGAGTAGTTTTCTCTGCACACTGCCTCGTCCGGACAAATTTGGATCCCAGTTTTTGGAGGGTTGTCAGCCAGGGATGTGGATTTCAGCCCCTGGAGAAAACAGTGGCACTGCTTAGCAGTCAGGGGCCCAGCGGGCCGCAGCGACTGTGGGTCCCTCCATTCCACTGCCCGATACAGATTTCCTCTGTAGCTCAGGGGGTAAGGCCTTTGTAGAAGTTAGATTCGCGGGCGGCCGCCAGGATTTTGCAGTGCTTCGTTCAGCAATGTCTGTGTTAGAGAACGCTGGGAAATGTTTCATGAACCCTGTACTGTCTTTTGTAATAAAACATTTTGAAGATTGCCTACTAAAGCTCCCTTTGTCCATCTTCCCACCCGCCAGGTAAGCCCTGAAGTGGCCGTCCTGTGCAGCATCAGGGTTGGGTTTTCGTTTGTGACTTCAGACACCTTTTGGGAAATGCAGAAATCTGCACCTTAGGAAATGGAGTCCTGAGCTGTGACTCTCCCATGTGGGATGCCTAGCAACAGCCTCTCTGACCATTGGCGGGCAGTTGAGTGTGGGTTTTCCCTTCCCTCCTTCATTCCTGTCTCTAACACCCCCAGGGCTTTTTGGCTCCGCTGGGCAGCTGTCCTGGTGACGGAAAGCGGGGACAGGCCTCTGTGGGCGGTATTTGTGTGGCCTTCAAGTCAGAACCCCCGTTCCCTGCATGGGAAGTGCCCTTTCCTCGTGCCCCCAGTAGTGATAGTTTTGGGGTGGTGCTTTTTTATTTCATCTAACTTAAATTTCCTGATGGGTAAGTATCAGATGAAATTCAGCTTAATTAATGTTTGACTTTTGAGTCTTGCTGTGTTTTTACCCTGTGATCCCAAATGCCGCTCATGCGTGACTGTTTGGAGCTGATATGTAAACTAGCCGAGATGGAAGTCATGTTGATACTGTCGTAAGATGTTTTTGGCTACTCAGAAAAAGCACTGACAATAAAATTTTGTATTGGAAGAGATTGCCTACACAGTTTAAATTCTTTGGTAGTCGGGTCATGAATGAATTCAGACCCATTAACTCCTTGGTTCTGTCTTTTAGCCTGAAAAATCATTTTTTGGGAGAGAGAAGGACAGGTACAACAGAAGAAGAAGTCTGAGCTTTCAAGTTAGTTGTTTACAGCTCGTTTGGCCCGCCCCTTAATGAGTCAGCCCTGGGGCTCTGATCTGTTCTCCTGGGAAGATGCAGCGAGGGAACGCCGCGAGGAGCAGGAGCGTGGAGCTTGGCTGAGCGAAGCTTGGCTGCCAGCAGCCGACTGGCACAAGGGTGGGAATAGATGGACAGCTCTGGTTGAGCCCTAGTGTCATTGTTTTTACAAGCTATGGTTGAAAATGACCACAAAATTATAAATCTAAGTCATGAGGTTTTTAGAGTGTTCTTTCCCACGATTGGGCCTGGCCTCACTACCAGGGGGATAGTTTATGTAATTGGCAAATTTGAAACATTTGCCCAAGTCTAAGGTTGGACTTCAGGTCGTCAGGAGTAAGGGAGCTCAGCACCGTCTCACCCACCAGGAGCTTATAGGGCTGCTGCACGTTGCTGGTGACGAACCAGGAAGTTTTTGTTGAAATCGTTCAGCTTCTTAAGATACTTGTTTCCATGTTTCCTAAGGCATAGGGAGTCTTAAGGAACTCCCCATCTTAAACCTCCGTGCCCTGCAGGCACCAGTTCTGTATCTTGCATACAATACGTGCTCAATAGATGTTTGTAAATCTGATAGCATCTTCTCAAAAAGAAGTGTAATTCCTGACTCCTAATTCATGTGAAGTCATTCTGCCATTAAAAATTTACTGGACGGACACCCAGTTAGAAATAGAACATGGAGTCTACAAACCTCATGGAAAAGACATGTTAGTTGGTTCACTTATTTTTTTTCCCAGCATTTTATGAGAATTTTCAAACATGCAGAAGAGCTGAGAGAGATTTACAATGTACACACACCTACCACCTGGATTCTACAGCTAACATTTTGCTTTCATTTGATTTGTCCATTTGGTTTTGCCAAACTTTTGTCCTCCGTGTCTGTAACACCACTTTCTTGATTATTGAGTGTCGATGCGAACTGCTGGGGAGGACCAGGTATTCAGATTTAGGAGTTGCATCCAGGAGTGCACTTGGTTCCTGTCATGTTTGGTCTGACCCCGTGTTCTAGGGGACGGATCCTGGAAAAAGCATGGAAATGTGCTTTGTGTGCACGCACACGTCTGCCTGTCTCAGTCGGGGGTCTGCTGACCCTGCCTGCCTAAGCCCACTTGATGGTGGTTTCATCTGTCACGAGCGTGGGCTTACTGCAATGAGGAATTGCTGTCTTTCATGAGAAATGGCAACTCGGGCGCGTGGCCATGGGTGAGAGGGCTGGTTCCAACGTGGTTTCCCAAGCATACTCAGCCCCTGCTTTCACTGTCATTTGCTTGCTTTTCTTTACATTGATCAACTTTTTAAAAGCCAGTTGCCTTTCAAAAAGAAGTGTTGCCATAAATTCAGAGAAAAAAATTTCAAGTGTATGGAAAACTAGTATTTTTTTGCCCAAAGTGGTAATCTTAAAAATTACCGTATTTGCTGGCGTATAAGACGATTTTTTGGCCCTGAAAAATATGCCTCCAAGTGGGGGGTCATCTTATACGCCAGGTACACTTCAGATAGACTGCCCATAGTGCTTGCCCCGTGCCATAGTGGCCTCCCGATGCCCGCCCACTTCATTCCACATACCGTTCAGGCATCAGCAGCGCTGCTGGGTGTATGCTCGGCTGTTATGCGATTTTGCTGTTATGCGATTTTACCACACTCGCAAAATCGCACACAGCCGACCATACACCCAGTATGATAGCGCAAAATCGCGAATCGCGATTTATGTATATGTTTGATTACATACAGCCTTGTGACAGTTTTCCTGCATGTCATAAGCATTTGAATATAAATATAAATGTTGAAATCAAATCTGATATTGTTTTACCTTTTATTTGGTGTGTGGAAGGTGTGCGGAAAAGGGGGTAGTCTTATACGGCGAGTATATAACAAACTCTGTATTTTGAGTGGAAATGTTAGGGGGGGTCGTCTTATACGCCCAGTCGTCTTATACGCCGGCAAATACGGTAATACAATGAAAATGAAAGAATGAATGTGAGACATGACAATACAATGAAAGTTAAAATGTACCCCCAAAAGTCACCTTTAAGGGACAAACATCTCACTGGGAAATTCTATTAAGGTGATGTTATTTTGTATGTTATAGGCTACTTGGTAGAACCCATCTGTCTTTTGGAAGGCGATGTGGGGACATTTTTTTTTTCATTCAAAATTTGAGTTTCCTTTGAAGGAGGGGCTTTGTAAGAAGTGAACCAAACACATGCCTTTAAATACAGGCACAGGAAAGCCAGCATTTTCCAGATTAAGTCACGACCCATTCGCTAGTTGTGAAATAACTATAGTTGCTGCAGCAACTGTATTTTATTTTTCAAAAACTGGAGCCACAAAAGATAGACTATTCAAGTACATCGCACACAGTGATGGTAATATTGTTTTGCATGATGTAATGTGTGTATATATGTTTATGCATGCAAGCATTGCATATTTTACCATCCTGGGTTGGGGTTTCTGTCCCTGTTACTTCTTATATGATTTAGGATGGGTTGTTGAGGTTCAGTAACCTCAAGTAGTTACTGTCATGAGTACTAGCCCTAACTCTCCCCGTATCCTATATTGATTATAATATGACATTTGAAATGTCCACACAACATTGCAGTTAAGAACTGCACCCAGAGTCAGACTTCCGGCCTTCAAATCCCAGCTCTGTCACTTCCCAACTCTGAGCAGACGATTTAAACTTCTCTGAACTTCAACGACCTCATCTGTAAAATGGAAGACATTAAAAGTAGACATTGCACAAAATTGTGGGTATTCAGAGTTACCCGTAGAATGATTCCATGGCTGGCCTGAAATACTTGCTCAAATGTTAGCTCCCACTGTGTAACTTCCGGGGGCGGGGAGGGGGGGTTGTCCGTGGGAAATTTCTCCCCCGGGACAAAAATGTCCATGGACCAGGTTGTCCTGAGACCTTTGTAAGAGGATTCCCGCAGGGGGAGGCTGTGTTTTGGTGCGGCCAGCAGATGGCGCTAATAGCTCCAATGCCGCCATCAGGGAACACGTTCCTGTGTTCAATTTCACGGATTAAAGTTTATTAGAGGAAGTAAGTTTTGGCTCCCCATTTGCTGCTGTTACTAAGCTTGTAAGATACTTAAAGAGTGGAATCGAAGGATTATCCTATTAGAAGAATATTCTTTAAAGTAATACACTTTTATCTTTAGAAAGATTGATGGTCTCCTTAGGAAACGCTGAAAGCAACCAGTTTTTCAGAGACCAGAGTCCTGATTTTTCTCCTTAAGAATTTAACGTCCCCGTTGGTTTCCTTATGGGACCTCGAGGCCTGGTTGCCTGTGGTGTGGGAGACTGTGAACACCCGCTCACCTCTTAGCATCTATCCCTGGCCTGGGCTGGTTAGGAAAGAATCGGAAACTCCAGTCTCTGCCCTAGATGGGTATTGGAGGCAAACAGGCCATTTTACGACGTGTTTTAGTAACTTTGAAGCTGGAGACCTACATGTGGCTAGTCGGAACTGAAGTGTAAATAAATGTAAAATGCACAGATTGCAGACTTGGTACAAAAAGGCGAATATCTCTTTATTTCAATTACAGGTTGAAGTGATAATATTTTGGATAATAAAATTAATGTCACCTGATCATACTTTTGTAACCATGGCTACCAGACACGTAAACTACACTGGCTTGCAGGATGTTTCCCTGGGACTTTGCTATCCTGGGCCCTGTGATGTTTGGAGGTGCCCCCGCTCATCACATCAAATATTAACATGCACCCACGTCCCACCCTGAATACACATTCTTTTACTGCAGATTGTTTGAAAATCTTTGCATGTTTTCCTTCTGAAATTATCTGGCAGTCTTTACGTTTGGCAATGATTTCTTAACGATCACCTTGAATACTAGGGAATTTTTCAAAAGTGTTTTCTGACAAATTGTTTTCAAATGTATTGAATGTGTTGGAACACTAATGAGGTCTAGATTGACTGCATCTGTAGACATTTATTGAAACTGACTTATTTGGGGTTATTTTTATATTTTGAAGCCAATCCCTCTCCTTCCCCTCCCCACTCAAACATTTTTGGAGGCCCTCAAACAAGCCCTGTGAGTCCCAGACATTGGGTCCAGAGTGCCTGGTGGGAAGTCTGCCTGGAGCCAGCGCTTAGAAAGGCAGTTTCGACAGTTTCCTCCAGGGGTGCTGGGGTGATAGTCAGAGGCTGCCAGTATCTCATAGCTCTGCGCGACTTCCTGCTAAGTGGGGTTTAGTCCCCCATTTCACAGATCTTGCTAGGGAGATCCTGTGTGGCTACAGTTTTGAGAGCTTTGTAGCACAGTAGGTGTTAACGTTACCACAAGGACATAAACCGACTAAATCACTGTAGCCTGTTGTATGTAAGTCTGTTGTGAATTTCGCATCAATATATTGATAAATACCTTTTCAGGTGACGGCCCCTTTCCAAAGCAAATAAGGAAAAACTGTTGCGTACTTGCTGAAAGCATACGTGGGTCCCTGAAAAATAACTGGCACGCATTCTTATTTTTGTAGCTTACCCTCGCTGGTTGTGGGCTGGGGTGGGGTGGGGAGAGGAAGTGGACAGAGTGCTAAGAAGAAACTCAATCCCCAGCAGCACATGGGCCAGGTCAGCACTGCCCTTTGGGTCGTCACGGCCATCGTCAGTGCCCATCAGGTCTGCATCCTTTTCTCTTCCCTGCTACTGGCCAGAAGTGTGGGCCTCTTCCTCTGTGTCTGAGTCTGTCCAGGGGCGCCCCGATGGGCCTTACAGTGTCAGCATGACTCCAGGTGAGCCACAGGTGGGCGGTGCTGGTCCCGGGTCAGATTTCAGGGGCTGGGAGGGGCTGGCT